CTGAAGAGAGAGCACAACGCTTCGGATCTATCGCCGTCACCTCAAAGAGGTCTTCTCTGTCATGACTACTTAGACTGAGGCATTCAACACGATTCTCGCAACTTCATTCTATCATAACTTTGTGACTCACAGTTGTTGTTTACAGTACTAAGTAACGGTTAAGGTTCAATTTTGGTGACGCTTTTTCAGTTTTTGTGGATTATCCAATCTACGCCTTCGTATCAAATTAGAGAATGAATATCCAACGCTCATCATAAGCGGGATCCTGAACCTTCGGATTTGGATACTTGGATAAAAAAAACAAAAGACGTTATTAAATCTTACAGGAGTCCGCGTTTCCTCAACGAACGCAATACTTAATCCATTTGTACGACCATGAAATAATAGAAATGCACACAGATCAAGCCTTCGACGTAGAACATATCAAGTACTAACCATATCAACTAGAGGGGCATCCCGGTCCATAAAATGGTCCTTGCAACGGCGCTTATTACTATAGCTCTTTTCTTACGGACTGGTTTCGGTGTTCCAGGGACGAGTTTGGTGTTCCAGGGACGAGTCCGAACTAAGCTCTAACTATTTACCACGTCACATTAATTGGCATTGTATTTTCTACTGTTACCTCTGCTTTCCAACGCTACGTATTGCACACGCTTCATGTTTCTATGATCACGTCTTCATTTGCCCTTCGACTTGTTCGCGGCATTCGACTTGTTTTCCTTCTTCTCAACGTTGGGCTTGTCTTCCTTCTTCTCCGACTTACTCTTGGCCGCGTCCGAACCCTGCTCCTTCGGAGTGCTGTCCGTGCCAGCGTCCGATGCAGCAGACTCGTAGTCGAAGAATCCCGGGGATCCGAAACCGTAGGAGGGGTTGCCATAGCCGTAGCTGTTGCCGTGGCTGTAGCCGTAACCGTAGCTAGGGTAGCCATAGGCCGAGTAGTAATCTGGGTAGTATCCATAGCCATTTTTGTCACCGTAGCCATAGGACGAGTAGGAATCGGGATAGTATCCGTTGTTATAGTAGCCATCATAACCATAGCCACCGCTGTACGACGAGTAGTAGTCAGGGTAGTAGTCGTAGTCCTTCTTGCCGTATCCCTTGTCATAGCTGTAGTAGTTTTTGCCATGGCCGTAGTAGTCGTCGTTGTAGTCATCGTAGTCCTTGCCATAGCTCTTGTAGCCCTAGCTGTAGCCAACGCCATAGCCCTTGTAGTCATGGTCGTCGTAGCCGTAGCCCTTCCGTTTGTAGTCATCGTGACCATAATCGTCGTGACCATAGTCGTAGTCGCCATAGTCGTCGTGGCCATAGTCGTCGCGGCCATAATCGTATTTGCCGTAGCTACTGGTGTACTTGGATGACTCCGTGACCTTGTCGTCCTTGTTGTCCTTGTCTTCTAAGCGGCGACTATAGTGCGAATGGTCTTTGTGGTGGTCGTGGCCGTGGTGCTGGTGTAGGATAATGCGTCCTAAGACACGTCCTAAACTGTCCTATTTGTCCTAAATTTTACAGGGAGATTTTGGAGATGTGTCCTAAAAAGCGACTAATCCTTCGTTACAGAATATTATAATTTGTGTCCTCCAGATTGTCCTAAACCTCAAATAATAACTTTTTCCGGACTTTCTACGTAAATTTACGTAAGAGTTACTTAAAACTCACATTGGCTTTACTTATTGTCCTGGGGCACACAAACCATTTCTGAATCTCCCCAACATCATGGACCATCGCGGCTACTCCTTCTGCAGCTAGGGCGCTCGTCTCTCTGGCCTCTGCTGCCACCTGCGGAAGCAATGTTGGTGCTGCCTATGCCCATGATCGTGCTTACGAGGGTTGCGCCCGGTAGTGCGTGCGTCAGCCGTCTGCAGTATGGAGGCAGCGACGCAAACACCGAGCAACAGGATGATCTTGGAATGCATCTTGAACGCGATGTTTCTTGGTTGTTTGACGGTGGTGCTGGTAGGGCGGTGGTCAAGAGTGCAAAGAAGAAGGCGAAATGAAAAGTGAGAGAGCGGCAACACGCTGAGGAGAGAGCACAACGCTTCGAATCTATCGCCGTCACCTCACAGAGGTCTTCTCTGTCATGACTACTTAGACTGAGGCATTCAACACGATTCTCGCAACTTCATTCTATCATAACTTTGTGACTCACAGTTGTTGTTTACAGTACTAAGTAACGGTTAAGGTTCAATTTTGGTGACGCTTTTTCAGTTTTTGTGGATTATCCAATCTACGCCTTCGTATCAAATTAGAGAATGAATATCCAACGCTCATCATAAGCGGGATCCTGAACCTTCGGATTTGGATACTTGGATAAAAAAAAACAAAAGACGTTATTAAATCTTACAGGAGTCCGCGTTTCCTCAACGAACGCAATACTTAATCCATTTGTACGCACCATGAAATAATAGAAATGCACACAGATCAAGCCTTCGACGTAGAACATATCAAGTACTAACCATATCAACTAGAGGGGCATCCCGGTCCATAAAATGGTCCTTGCAACGGCGCTTATTACTATAGCTCTTTTCTTACGGACTGGTTTCGGTGTTCCAGGGACGAGTTTGGTGTTCCAGGGACGAGTCCGAACTAAGCTCTAACTATTTACCACGTCACATTAATTGGCATTGTATTTTCTACTGTTACCTCTGCTTTCCAACGCTACGTATTGCACACGCTTCATGTTTCTCTGATCACGTCTTCATTTGCCCTTCGACTTGTTCACGGCATTCGACTTGTTTTCCTTCTTCTCAACGTTGGGCTTGTCTTCCTTCTTCTCCGACTTACTCTTGGCCGCGTCCGAACCCTGCTCCTTCGGAGTGCTGTCCGTGCCAGCGTCCGATGCAGCAGACTCGTAGTCGAAGAATCCCGGGGATCCGAAACCGTAGGAGGGGTTGCCATAGCCGTAGCTGTTGCCGTGGCTGTAGCCGTAACCGTAGCTAGGGTAGCCATAGGCCGAGTAGTAATCTGGGTAGTATCCATAGCCATTTTTGTCACCGTAGCCATAGGACGAGTAGGAATCGGGATAGTATCCGTTGTTATAGTAGCCATCATAACCATAGCCACCGCTGTACGACGAGTAGTAGTCAGGGTAGTAGTCGTAGTCCTTCTTGCCGTATCCCTTGTCATAGCTGTAGTAGTTTTTGCCATGGCCGTAGTAGTCGTCGTTGTAGTCATCGTAGTCCTTGCCATAGCTCTAGTAGCCCTAGCTGTAGCCAACGCCATAGCCCTTGTAGTCATGGTCGTCGTAGCCGTGGCCCTTCCGTTTGTAGTCGTCGTGACCATAGTCATCGTGACCATAATCGTCGTGGCCATAGTCGTCGTGGCCATAGTCGTCGCGGCCATAATCGTATTTGCCGTAGCTACTGGTGTACTCGGATGCTCCGTGACCTTGTCGTCCTTGTTGTCCTTGTCTTCTAAGCGGCGACTATAGTGCGAATGGTCTTTGTGGTGGCCGTGGCCGTGGTGCTGGTGTAGGATAATGCGTCCTAAGACACGTCCTAAACTGTCCTATTTGTCCTAAATTTTACAGGGAGATTTTGGAGATGTGTCCTAAAAAGCGACTAATCCTTCGTTACAGAATATTATAATTTGTGTCCTCCAGATTGTCCTAAACCTCAAATAATAACTTTTTCCGGACTTTCTACGTAAATTTACGTAAGAGTTACTTAAAACTCACATTGGCTTTACTTATTGTCCTTCGGCACATAATCCTATTTGCCGAAGCTCCTGGTGCACTCATGATGACCTCCGTGACCTTGTCGTCCTTGTCGTCCTTGCTGTCCTTGTCTTCTAAGCGGCGACTATAGTGCGAATGGTCTTTGTGGTGGTCGTGGCCGTGATGCTGCCTATGCCCATGATCGTGCTTACGAGGGTTGCGCCCGGTAGTGCGTGCGTCAGCCGTCTGCAGTATGGAGGCAGCGACGCAAACACCGAGCAACAGGATGATCTTGGAATGCATCTTGAACGCGATGTTTCTTGGTTGTTTGACGGTGGTGCTGGTAGGGCGGTTGGTCAAGAGTGCAAAGAAGAAGACGAAATGAAAAGTGAGAGAGCGGCAACACGCTGAAGAGAGAGCACAACGCTTCGGATCTATCGCCGTCACCTCAAAGAGGTCTTCTCTGTCATGACTACTTAGACTGAGGCATTCAACACGATTCTCGCAACTTTATTCTATCATAACTTTGTGACTCAGAGTTGCGTTTACAGTACTAAGTAATGGTTAGGGCTCAATTTCTGTATCATCTTTTCAGTTTTAGCTGTTGTGGACTTAGCTAAATCGACTCATTAAAGTATGAGTTGCTGTTGAAATTTGATGAGGATTTTAAATATAAATCGACCGCCATTTGGTAAGGACAGTAAATCTGAAAGGACAAAATGTCTGGAGTTCAGAATAAAAAGTAATTATATGAGTTTTTTTGCGTATTTTCAGGCCAGCGAGTAGAGCACCTGGACTGGGATTCTGCGCGAGCTATAAGATCATCTAGGAATGGCTGTCTTTCATTGTTACTGCTTCACTTAGAGTTTCTGCAAGACGTTACACCCAAGTATTTGTTGGAAACCCCGCTTTTCTTACTCTGTCATGCCATCCTCACCGATGGAGAGTGGTAACGCGGATAGTACGGTAGTGGCTCTCAGCAACACTGACGTTGTCGCCACCGGGGCCACCGTCGGGATGCGTTTCTTGCTTGTTTACTATCTCAACACCCATGTCAAGCTCTGCCAACGTTCGGCGAGCTAGTGGTTCCTGCTCTTTCCAAATCAACAACTCCTCTGATACCTCGCAATCCGAGCCTGCCAGCTTGATTGCCTTAGCCATGGCTTGTAGTCGCTCAACGAGTGGTCGCTCCCACACATCTAGCGCGTGGGCCAGAAAGCGGTCAACGTGAAGACGGGGGAAAGGAATAGCGCCCGGGGCTCGCTCTGTCGTAGGGTCAATACCATGGAAATCCGATCCACCCATCTACCGTAAAAACATAGAAAGGTTAGTTATAAGTACTAATGCTTTATGCGCGTAAACATACCCTTAATAAGCCGGATTCCTTTGCCAAGGCGCCATACATGTCGATTTTATTCGTGTCATGATAAACTTCGATGCCCTATACGCATAGATGTAGCCATTAATTAAAAAAAAAGTGGCACGATTTGATGAGGATAAAGTTGCAGCGATAGCGTACCTGAATACCCATTTTAGCTAGCTCGGGAACTAATGCTATCGGGTCCTATAACAGATATAAAAAAACATATTAGCCACCAGCCACATAATTCCTCAAAAACCAATACGCTGCAAGTTTACCTTACAGCACCACGGGTGTGCAAGAACAGATACCCCTCCAGCGCTTGCAATAAGCTTAATGGCTTCTTCAGGTGGGAAATGCTCGCCCTGGTACACTGTCATTGTTACCTTCATTGACAGGTCCATGCTGCGATAATACGTACCTCGACGTATGCAGGACCATCGTTATGCAAGTATCGCGCAAAGGCCTGGCGGAAGTTGGCAACGTGACCAGCTTCCACTAGAGCTTCGGCGACGTGCGGCCGACCCGGGGCGGCTTCTCCAGCAATCTCCAGCACACGTTCCCACTCGAGTTTAATGCCCATCTCCTCCTACTCAACCAACTCGTCAATTAACTCAAATAACCGCAACTTTATCGTAATACGTACCAGTTTCTTGAGCATTCCCTTGCCGCGTTTGTGTCTGCCCGTGCGAATCTTCAGTAGCTGCTTCTCCAGCTCGGCACTGTTCGATCCCGGGTAGAAATAGCCTAAGATATGTAAATTCTCACCGCCCTTCACTTCAGCGCTGATCTCGACGCCTGGAAACACCAGAACACCGAGTTTCTGTGCCGCGGCAATGGCTTCACTCACTCCAGCCATGGTATCATGGTCCGTGAGTGACATGAACGTCACTCCATTGGCTGCAGCCTTGGCGATCACCCCACTGGGCTTAAACTTGCCGTCGCTACAAATACTACTCCGCAAAAAATAATACCAACATTCCGTCGTCAATGTCAACCACGTCAGTACATTTAAAAGAGAGTAGGTCAATTTTTCATGTCGCACCTGTGTAGATGGAAGTCTCCACATGCTGCGTCACCTGCTTCAGAGGAGTCACAGGCCTCAGCATGAGCCGAGGAGTGGTGGTCATCATTGGACGGGAACATGGCGTCGCTCAGCGCCTCATAGGCCGCATCGGGAGCCACGTTTCGAGTCGTTGCGAGCGAACACTTACGGTTGAAGTTGGATTGTAAGTTCACGGGCTTGCGCTTGCTGCTCTTCTTGACATTCTTCTTGCGGTGCCCACGCGATGACGCCGACACCATTTCGACTGTCAACAACCAAATACTACTCGCATAAAGTCCCACAGGTTCTTAATTCATCAACTCATAGAGGCTTGTCAAACAAGAATGCTGGTCATTTTTAGAAACATCCGGTGTATACTATACACATCATCGGTAATACCGATTCGGTATTGGGTGAACAGCTTGCGAGCCACAGCATTGATCCATTTCCAGATCAGCAGGACGGACCATCATGTTGCGCTCGAGTCTGCGCAATGCAGTGCGGTCTCAGGGCTTGCTGCGTTATACGGGGGCTACTCCCCCTCATGCCCAAGGTCCTACTCGTATTGCGCCATTCGCGACGTTCGGTAGCGAGTTCTCGAGCCTTCGTGACGTCCGCCAGTCGCCAGCTCTGATCCTTCCGCAATACCCGCTGCTGCTTCGCGCGCACACCCGCGGGTATGCTGCGCTCCCCACGAAACCGTCAACGACCTCATCGACCTCTGCGCCGACAGCTGCGGAGGCTGCTGCACTTAAGAAGAAGGTCGCGGCCGCAAGACGTCGTCGCAGTAAGATCCGCGTACAGGAGGAGAAGCTCGAGTCCGCATTGGCCAAGGGTGGCGAGCGCCGTATGATCCGCGTCGAAGACGTAGAGAAGGAGCTGCCAAAGGTGCCTGAGCGTGCCGTATTGCTTCTCAAACGCACTCCTCAGCTCACAATGCAGGGCGTTAAGGCCGTGGCTCACGCCCTGCAGGTTCTGTTCACTGACCCGGCTGCAGTTAAGGAATGGCTCGGTAAGATGAAAGGCAAAGTAAAGCACGAGCTGGATCACTATTGGCTCGGCACTAAACTTCTCTACGCCGACGTGTCGACGTCCACGCGCATCATTCGTCGTCTACTTAAGGGCAACGCACTCTCGCGTCGTGAGCGCAAGCAGCTGCAACGTACAGTAGCTGATCTGCTGCGTCTCGTGCCATTCGCGTTCTTCGTGATCGTCCCGTTTATGGAATTGCTGCTGCCTGTGGCTCTCAAGGTGTTCCCGAACATGCTCCCGAGCACATACAAGGACTCGTTCCAGCGTGAGGAAGACATGAAGCGTCAGCTGCAACTGCGTGTGGCTCTAGCCGGTTTCCTACAGGACACAGTGAAGGAGATCATGCAGGACACACACGACACTGAAGGGGTGTCCGAGGAACGCAAGGCTACAGCCAGTGAGGTCGTGAACTTCGTGGAACGGGCTCAACGTGGCGAGCCGTTGACGTCTGAGGAGACGCTGCAAGTCGCCAAGTTGTTCAATGACGAGCTGATGCTGGATAATATCTCCCGACCGCAACTTGTGGGCATGTGTCGGTTTATGGGCGTGCAGCACTACGGCAACGACAATCTGCTGCGTTTCCAGCTGCGTAACCGGATCCGTCAGCTCAAAAAGGATGATCAGGATATTATTTGGGAAGGTCTGGACTCTCTGGACAAGGAGGAGCTGCAGATGGCCTGTATGGAGCGTGGTATGCGTGCTACCGGGCTGACGAAGGCCGGCTACGTGCGTCAAATGCGCCAGTGGCTTGACCTGTCCATCAACAAGAACGTACCGGCGTCGCTGCTCATCATGTCGCGGGCGCTGAACATCACAGCTGCCGACAACCTGGAGGAGGCGCTGGCTACGTCCATGTCGTCTATGGACGAAGAGGTGGTGACGGAGGTGGCGCTGGCAGCCAAGGCGTCCACGGAGGGAGAAACGGCGGAGATGCGGAAGCTCAAACTCGACAGTATTCGCTACCAGAACGAGATGATTGCGGACGAAGAGAAGTTCCGTGACGAAGCTCAGAAGAAGGAGACTGAAGCTCAGAAACAGGCGGAAAGCGACGCTGCTGCCACGCAGGCTGCTACTGAGACGCAGACGGACGTGGAACAGGTCATTTCGGATGTGATTATGGAGAAGGCACAGGCTCAATCAACGCCTGCTGACGCCACGTCTTCGGGAGTAGCAGCTGAGACGAAGCCTAGCGAGGAAGCGACTGTGGTGCCGAAGAGTATCGAGAACATTGTCAGCTTGGAGGAGCTGAGTGCGCTGGAGTCACTTGCGTTCAAGTCTCTCGTCGAGAAGGAGCGTCAGACTGTGAGTCAGTTGAAGCAGAACAAGTACGACATGGACGTCGAGGGCTTGCTGGCTGCTGGTCGTATCGGTGCACAGGCTACGGAGAACAAGACTGCTGGCCGTATGATGAAGAAGCTTGAGGCCATGCTGTCGAATCTGGAGGTGGAAATCGAGGAGGTTGACCGCCATGTCGGTGATCGTCTGAACATCCTTGATCGCGATAGCGATGGTGTGCTGTCGGCTGAGGAGCTGCGTGATGCTGTCATGACGATTCTGCGCAAGGCGAACACCCAGGAAGATGTGGAATGGGTGATTTCGCACATCGATGAAGACAATGACGGCAAAAGTACGTTATCTTGCTGTTGGTTTGGATGGAAATTGGTACTTATTTGTGTGTGTATTTTTTTACAGTCGCTTTGGAGGAGCTGGTGGCCTGGATTGCCAAGTGCCGTGAAAGTCTAGAGGCTACGGGCCGCATCGCACTGCAGGAGCCGACGGACGTAAACGCCGAAGCGGCTGCAGCATCAGAAGGTGAGAAGGCGAAGATCGACAAATCGGAGAAGGCGAAGGTCAAGCGAACGAACAGTCGTAAGAAGAAAGAGAAGGAACAATAATCTCTGCGAAAGCTGATGGTGCGATGAAGATAGAAGCCGCTGAGAATGTGCCACGTCCACATTGCTTATTCTATCTCAATAGATATATTGCCGATGCTGGCTTTGTGATTGTTTTTCGAATTACGGACAATAATGAACTATCATAGAAAGATACTACTGCACAGTACATGGACTTCGAAGTAGTACTTACTTCAAAGAACTTGAGACAAGTTTTTGTGAATGAGTTCCAGCTTCAGGTTTGGCAGTCATGTACAACCCGACATGGATCCCTGTACCTTTTCGAAGGTCTCGCTAAAGCTTACTCGTAGGCGGTCATCATTCAGCTTTGTTTTCTCGTAGATTTTAAGAATTTGGACATTTAATTTTGCAACTAACTAAAATACTTTAGCTCTAATAGCAGAGAAAAATAATTCTAGCTTATCTTCCGATCAAGAGACCAATGGGTTCCATAACTGACATAGAAATTATTTGTCACCCTACCCCTAGTCATTAAACCAGTCATTAAACACGGTGATTAAAACCGAATTGTTTGATGAGACCAAAAAGTGGTCTCATCAAACAATTCATTAAACTGGATTTAATACCCTTTAGGGGGAGGTCGGAGTACAAAAAGAGCAAATAAAAAAGAGCATTGCAGCGGATCTAGGTCGAGGTAAAATACCTGTTTATTTAATGTCAAAATCGGTATGTACCGGTAAATTGAGCTCACATTCAACGATTCGCGATGGAAGGAGGACACGGTGCTCATGGAGGCGATCCCCCCTCTCCAGAAGAAGACTTTGCGGCTGACCCTCTTGGCAAGGCTCTTACTGAGAAGGCACCTCGCTTGGTGTGGACTGATTCACGTCTGCGTACTCAACTCCACCTCCGTTTGATTGCGTACGGTGATCAATTTAACAAACACAAGAGCAGAGCGCAACTGACTGTACTGTGGAGCCGTTTGGTCCGTCGTTTTAACAAGCAGCATGAAACCAAGGCCGTTGTAGATCAGTTACGTAACAAATTCAATGCTATGAAGGCGCTGTTCGGCCAGATCCGCGCCGACGAGGCTACTACGGGAAACTTGGAAAAAGCGGTGAAGTATCCGAGCTACTGGTCAGTGCTCGTCGAGTTTTTTGCTGATAAAAAGGGGCTGCGTAACCAAGCATATCTTGAAACCCTTGTATCACCTCCGCTATCTCGTCGTCCGTGGACGGTAATCGAATAGTCTCTGACGAAAACGATGTCACCACATGAACAACTTGGCGAATAAAAAGTAGTGCTTGCGTTTTGCCAGCGCCAACAATCTGTCCAGCCGCGTATGCACTGCCGCCGTGAGTGACATAATAAAAGGCCACCGCCACTCGATCTCTAATAGGAAAATGTGCGTTATGGCGAGGGGCTGGGCGTACGCTCGGCCATCTCTGCTCGATACGGGATACAATAGCCAGGAAAGTTGCACGATTGCACCGAAAATTTACTGGAAACGAGCCGTCTGCAAATATGGGGTCATCTAGAACTCACTGCCATGTTGTGTTCCGTACGGAGAAGCGTCGGGAAGGTTTCCTGGGCCATCGACGCTTGTCACTGGCAAGAGTAGCCACTGCGGCAAATACAAGGGAGAGCGCAGCCAATTTTTTCCTCCCCTTCATGTGTGATCTCTTTTTTTGAAAGACCAACCTGTGGTCTTTTTTTAAAAGAGATAACCGAAAATCAGTCGGCCAATCAGGTCCAAGAAAGCTATTTAATTTTTTGCTCTTTTTGTACTCCGACCTCCCCCTTAATCGCCACCCTTAAGCAGCAACCACACAAAACAGTATCTTCATATTTGTATGGTACTAAAGGAGCCCCTAATTTAGAGATTTGTTTGAATTGAAGTGTGCCGATCTTCGAGGGCCGCTGGGCGCGAAACTGCGCCGTTCGCTAGCGCGAAGCTTTCAGTTCTCAAATTGCAGTCTCCAGTTCAAGCCTCCCCCTCACTTCCTCATCTATACATTTGGTACGTCTTGAAGCAATACACCTGCGTATGAATCTGGTCTGACTGTGTTATAATGAGCTTGTGTACAGATCCGTGATGTCTTCCAAACGCCGAGGCGCCAACTCATCAATAATCGCGCAGCCATCGCCCGACCGCCCTGCCAAGAAGCTCAAGACAGTCGTGAGTTCATACTGCAAGCTTCGGGTGCATGCACCTACAACAGTAGGTGCCAGTAGTGGTGATTTGACGAATTCTTTGATGACCAAGAGCAAATCGCCCTCCTTGTTGAAGCCGTCCGATGGAGTGGCGACACTACCGTGGATGCGCTCTGGTAGAGCGCTCACTCACCCTCTTGTTAACGAGGGTGAGACGATGCAAACAGCTCCGATGGCTGATTTTCATCTTTCGCAGTCTTCTGAGGCCGATTCGCTGTCACCTCGCAAGACCCAGTTGGAGCACGAAGCTCAAATGAAGGCGGGGAGGTCAACACCACCTACGTCGCCAGCTTCGACTCTCGCTAGCATGGGTTCACCGCTCCTTACTAGCTCACAAGAGACTGCTGATGCTCCCTGGTCTCCAAGAACGTGTACACCGCGTCCGGTACCTGTCAGCACGCGTCCCGACGTCCCCAAATGGTTCTCGGAGTGTTTTGAGTCGGACGGCTACAACACAGACGAATTGATCTTGATTGGCCCTCCTCCGCCTTCACAGCGACGACGTACTTCAATACTTTCGCAGAGTAGCTCACCGGGGTTCTCTGTTATCGAACAACCTGCTGGTGTGGCTCTTAACTCCGAGTGGTTTGATGTTGACTGGCCTGCTGAAGTCACGCGTTTGAACGTCCAGTCTAATCCTCTGGGTTTGAAGTTTCCTACGTTGAGTACAGGGATTCGTGGTGACCGAGGGTGTGGCTGCGCGGTGCGTCGTACAGCAAGTACCTGCTTAAACGCAAAGCGTAGTCGGTTTTGTACTGCAAGGAACTGTTCGTTTGTCGGAGTGTGCGGGAACTTCTACATCCTTGTTAAGGAGCTGGCAGACTAATAATAACAGAGACACCGCGTACCTAGTAAGACTTGTAGTCGTAATAAAATTCGTGTCTGTACCGTGAAGCCACGTCTCCATCCACGAGGAATCTTCTGGTTCCTTTAATCAGTCTATCGTCACATAGTGACGGGCTCGTACCAGTCGCTGCCACTCCGCTCGAAGCATCTCGTCGTGAGCTCGGCCCGGAAGATCTTTAAGCGTCGCTGCAGCTCTTTGACGTGTTTTAGAGGAGGCCCAAACCACGAGAACGACGCTTTCCTCCAACATGCACGTTTTCTAGATACTAACGATCGTATCGGATTACCTGCTCGCTGAGTCTGCAACTTTCCCTTGTTCAACGACTTTGCCTCTTTATCGCCAATTGTAACCTGTTGAGACCCACCTACTAGACCTTTCAAGTCTGGATTCTTGATTAACGCTCGGAAATCGCCGTGGGCACTCGCGATCAATCGAGGACCACGCTGACGCACCGTCGACGCAGCCAACACTTCCGCTTTCCGACCGATCTCGTCCACGATCAACGTCTCCACCGTGTGGTTCTGCACGTACTCCACCATTACACCAGCCTGTGCCTCCAGTGACGGTACCATCATGCGACGAGCCCACCCTACACACTCGTGCGGTACCAGACCGATCACAAATGGCGCAGAGCCCAGCGCATCGTTGCTAGGAAGGGGTCATGATGCTTTTTCGCATCTTGATTTATAGAAAAATTATTTACAATATTGTCCGGCTTTGACCTGTCCCGTTCTAGAATAATACTGAGCACAAGATACTTGAACCGGTTGTGACACAAACAGCTGGACACAAAATATGGTTTGACAGGGTTTTGGATGCGGTTCTTTTATGCTAGAAGATCGTCGTCTTTTTATCACCGAAGTAAGGAGCACAGACGAGTGATAAATAGTTTTCGATAAAACTGATTTATGTCAGTTTTGGAAGGCACCCAATGGAATAGCACGCATTCTGAATTCTGGATAAAATCCGAATAGATGACGTATAGATTACCGCTGAAATAACGAGTTCCACTGAAATATATTGCGGACCTTCGGATTTGACACTTTTCTGGCAGTTATTGCTCGAGAGTCCAGAAAATAAAGTTCCCTAATGACCTAAAGAACGTGGCCCAGCTGCCCTGATAATTAACGAAATAGCATGCTCGAAAGACCCGTTTTCGTGACGTAAACGCTACGTGAAAATGCGGAAAGCGAGAAAAGTTGGGTACCGCGTAGACAATATCAGCGGAAAATTACCAATCAGCATTCTGGAGTCTAGGATAGACTCCTCAAATGCGGCTGTCTGCTGAGTACCGTGGTCTTCCTATCAAAACTGGCCAAGAGACGTTGTGCACCATGGCAAGCGCCCAGCTAACCCACATATCCAGTTAGAGGTCGACCCTGTAGAGGTCCTTGTCGGTGTATGCTCAGAATTACTGCCGGAATCACAAAGAGAATTTGATTTGTGTAATGCAAAATGTGTAGTAAGACTTCGATAGCCCGTGGTCAATGATAGAATGATGCTTGAGGATTGGGGCTGCGCGTGAAAGACGAGGACATTTTCGCGTTTACTTTACATAAACTGGGATAGCTGTGTGATCTATCCTTGTATGGGAAAGCTGTGCGTGGCAGATCCTCTGGAGCAGTATACCGTGAAGTTAAATACAAAAGACAACTGTAATCGAAGCGTGTCTCTGGCTGACAGAGCTGCCGCCACATGGGTCGCTTATCAACCACAATTTCAAGGAAAATAACTGAATTGACGAAGTCGTGGTGGCGATGGACCAGATGGTGCGATTATCGCCTCCCGTACGATTGATCCAGGCGAGGCGATAACGGCAAATTACAGCCCCGACCAGAGCTTCTACTGCATTTGTCCTAATTCGTTGACAAGGAGCGTCATCATCGGTTGGCAGCTTCAAGACTTCAAAGAGCAAGTGAGTTGAGCCGGTGAGCCGACGTCAAGAGTAGCCGTATGTTGGAATGCATATCGTCTATGTAGCAGTTGGAGGCTTTGAATGTCAACGGATGACAAAAGGTAGCAGCTTCGAGACCCTGCGTATCAAAGATAAGCGCAGTAGTGCTGTTGAGAGTATAGTGAAAGAAGGGGCGACGG